GTAGGATATTACTTGAAGATATAAGTTAATTTGAAATCCTTTCTCCCTGAGGTTATCGTCTAATGATTTGACATTCTCCCCAAGATTTGTATGTTTACGCCGTTGGTTGGCACCTTTACCTAATCGCTCCTCTGTCTGAGGATATAAACTTCCCCCAGAAACAGTAGGATATTACTTGAAGATATAAGTTAATTTGAAATCCTTTCTCCCTGAGGTTATCGTCTAATGATTTGACACAGTATAGTCAGGAAAAACACTTGATTGTGTATTTGCATCAAACAGGGATATTTCTTCCATATTGCTTTTTTTTTTTTTGAGAATATCTACAGTCCAAAATCTTTTCCGATGTGTAAACTATAAAGTTTACAATGGCACTGAAAGACCATCACAATCACATACCTGTTATAGTGGGAGATAGAGACTGAGACACAATGTTGGGATTTCCCCTGATTTGGCTCAACCAGGTTTGTGCAGTGTATTCTTCCCCTTTCCTTTTTTTTATGTCTATGTCCAAAGATGGCTGGCTTTGGGTCAGTCCTGAATGGCCTCAGGGAGCCATGGACACGGTATACCTGCTTAATTATCTAGTCCCTACCCTTCATGGGTATCCTGAGAGGTGAACCATTTCTCTTCTCCATGCCAATATCCCCCAATCCCTTACCCATTATTGCCGCAGGGGGCTTAGGAGACATTCTGAGGCTCAATGCTAAGGATCATCCCTACCTTGGGACTCAGCCCTCATCTCAACTGATTTTGCATGGTCTTCTGTTCTTCCCCTCTCCTTTTCTTACTCTTCTACTATCCATTTCACAAGGTGTGAGAGCTGTGTTGAAAAATGAAAAGAGGGAGCCATGGGCACAGTATTCCCTTGTTTAGTTGTCAAACCCTTACTCCTGAGGGTGGACCATTTCTCTCCCCAACAAACTCCAGGCTTACCATGGCTAATAATAAAGATTTTGTACCCCAATTAAGGGCAATGAGGATTGCCCCTTTATCAGCTAGCCCCACTTAATTTAATCCCCCTGATTCCCTGATCCCAGGCTCTCCTTTGACCATGACTCTGAACACTACTAATACCCCCTCCTCAACACCATCTCAGTCTAGTCTAAATCATCCACTCAGGTCATTACTCAACCCCCAGGAAACATTGCTCCTCTCCCAACATTCTCTACTTCATCTACTACCCCCTCCTCCCTTATTAACCCATTACTGCCGGTATATTTTAAAGCCGAAAATAAAAGTTTCTGGGCAGGTGGCGTGGACTCTGCCCGCGCACCGGTCGCGGCCTGATGCTGCGTCGGAGCGCGAGTCCTGATACAGTGTCACACTGGTGGGACACCTGGATTTTTTTTTTTCTGGGTGTCTCATATGTAGGACACCCGTCGTTACTGGGTTAATACTCTGCAGCCTTATTATACATCTCTCCACAGTACTACTTCACTCAACACCACTGCCTTTTCCACAAGGACTCATCTTGCTACTACCCTCACCTCTACAAATCGTAAGTATTCCAAGTAGCCCAGCCAAATGGGATAATTTTTGTGATCCCTTCTACAGCTCCTTACTCTGATAACACTCCTCTTCTGACAATACCTCCAAAAACAAGTAGGCAAAGTTTCCTTCTGCTGCTATTCCGATTGTTCACGCCTTGTAACAGTTACATCTACATCCCAGTCTAATTAACTTCACTGACAAACCCTATTCCTTCCCAGTCTCATCCCTCCCTCAGTACTTGTAATGGAACTGTCTCCATCTCCCTGACAATCTGCCTTGTCAACAACAAGAATTGTTCAGATTGTGGAGAAGACTTACTTGCTTGCCCTGTGGACTAAGATACAGTATCAGTACAATGCTACACTATTCCCTCAAGAAGCCACCAAAAGTCCTCCATCAATATTGCCAAGATTACTACTTGTACACATGACCACCTCCTTCATGTTTATATTGGTGGAGAATCCCTTTCAGTCCAACCATATCAACCTCCACCCCATGTCAGAATTGTTGGCTTCTAAGCCACCCTGCAAACACTGCCACTCCACAGCCCAATGCTCTCTATGTGCATATATATGCTAGTCATGATCAATCAAACTGCTCTGCAGTTACATACATTTGGTGGCTCATATAATGTATTTTATTGGGGTTGCCCTACCTACAAGTTTGAGTTTAAGGAGGCAACTCTCAGATTCATATAGCCTCACTTTACGCAAGGCCAAAGGAAGCATGTCAATGAGTTTTTGCTTTACTCCCTACTCCAATGCAGCCCTTCACTCAAGGGTTGGATCTAGGGGGCATGAGAGGTGTACACCCCCCTATTTTTTGCAGGGTGACTTTTTTTTAGAGTTGTATTTTTGTTCTTGCCTATTTTTCCTTGTATCCACACTAGGAATAGGTCTATAAATACCTGAATGAAGTATGGAGAGGAAAATTAAAATGAAAGTATAATGATCAGATTGTTCTCCTGCATTGTGATGGTTTCCACATCCCCATGTCCCCTTTTCCGAAATGTCTGGATCCAACTCTGCACCCTGCCATTCCCCCTTCCTCCCAAAATGTTTCTACACCCCCCCCCCTGTATGTATTCCTCCTCTATCTTACATGTCCACTTCTACTCCTTTCCTCTCCCAATCAAATTCAATTGCAGTTCTAAATCCAGACACTCCAATCTCTACCACCGCTCAAATGCCTACCCCTCTCCCTTCTCACTCTACCCATAGTAGAAAATCTATACGTTCCACCCCCATATTCCCCTACCACACTCTCCTCCACCTACCTCTTGCTTTACCCCTTGAATGCCTATCTCATATTCTTCCTCTCACAAGAAAACCTTTGTTTCTCAGACCTCCCCAACCATATCCAGTTTAAAAACTCAGACATTCAAAACTATCCAATCATTGCACAAAATAACATGCTGATACCTCATCTATCTTCCAATCTCTCTGCTCCCATTCCAAGACTCAAAATAACAGCTAACATCCATCCTCCTATTCATGTTCCCTCTATACCCCTTCCTTCCAACAGCTCCCTTTCTCCCCTTCTTCATCTGCAATATCCACCATCCACCCCATTATTCTTTGTATTTATCCATGGATACAAATGTGATCCTTCCTTGATTTTTCTCCCTCCTGATCTGATTGCCCTTAAACCCTTTCTCTTCATCTTCAGTCCACATCCTAAAGTGTGAGAGCTGTGCTGAAAGGATGAAAGATTGGCTTTGTCTGTCCTGAACAGCTTTCTTACTCCAGTTGCTATTTCCTCTTTACCTTTTTCACTATCATACTAACCAACAGCACTCTCTACAGCCTTTATCCAACACATTTTTTTGTAAGTGTTAGTTTGGTTTTTACCCTTATCACAATACTTTGTATGACCTATCCTTCCTTAGGGTCTTCACCCTACACGGCTCACCCTATTGCTATATTTTGCGAAAAACCTTAGATGAATGTGGCAAAAAAAATTCAATAAATAAATAAAATATTGGAGGAGCCCTGCCCTCTTTGATCATATCTACCCCTCCCTCATCAATGGTTAAAAAGCAAAAAATAAATTGCTAGACATTTAGGGTCATATAGCACTATAGGAAAGTATATTAAAGGAGGGGTGAAGGGTGACAATTGCTATATGTTAACTATCTAGTGATCTTGAAAGGTTAAAGATGGGTAAAAAAGTTTTGTGAATGGGCTATGGTGGGTTTAGGTAATGGAATTACATAAGTATTTCACACGTGCATCCAGGAGGGAGTGGAAATGATAGAGGGGATGGGGGAGGGAGAATGTACGTATAGTTGGAGTTGAGAGGGATGGGTTGTGTTGGGAGGGAGTAGGAGGAAGTGGTGTAGGGGGAATATGGGTAGGAGGATTGATATCGGTAGTATCAGGAGGAGGGATATCTGTAGTAGGCAGAATTGAGGGGGTTAGGTTGTGCTGACAGGGAGGGTTGTAGGGGAATATGAGCAGGAAGGAAATGGATATTGGCAGTCACTTCAATTGTGGAGGGAGCCTCAGTTGAAGAATTTTGTGTCTTGAGCATATATTTCTGTAGGGTAGTAGTTTGTGTTCGGAGTCATGGTCAGTGGAGAGCCGGGAGAGTTTGAATTGGTAGGGCTATTTGAAGAAGGGGCAAACCTCATTGCCCCTAATAAGGGTATTACATCTTCATTACTGCCCATGGGAAGCGTTGATTATGTAGAGGAATTAAACAGTCCACTCCTCAGTGTCCCTTAAGGGGTAAGGGTTAGACAACTAAATCGGGAATACCATCCCTATGGTTCCCGCAGGCTGTTCAGGACTGGCACAAGGTCAGCCTTTCATCCTTTCAGCACGGCTCTTACACCTTAGGAAGTAGACAGTAGAAGGGGTTGGAGAAGGGAGGGGAACAAAGCTGGAGGGAGAAAAGGCCATGCAAAAGTTGAGTCAAGGAATGAGGCCTTAACCAGGGGAGATCCCTGCATTGGGTCTCAGTCTCTGTCTCCTAAGCCCCCCTCCCATGACAACAATGGGCAAGGGATTAGGGGAGACTCCCTCATCAAACTCAAAATATTGGCATCTTGGCTACCCTACCCAGCCTGATCATGATGGCTCAAACTGCTCTACACATGTGTACCAGTTGTATTGGATGCTGTAATTAATTTTATAGGGGCTGTGCTGACAAGTTCGAGTCCAATGTTGCAATTCTTAGATTTAAATTTGGCCTCAGTGCAAGTCAAGACAGGAAGCATGACGACAATTTTCTTTTATTTTGACCCCTACTCTATTGCAGTCCTTTGCTTTTCCCCTACATATTCCACTCAAGTTGATTCTACATTTCCTGCTACTCTTGATGTTCCCACTTCTACCCCCTTCCTCTCCCAGTCTTGTGTGTGTGCATGTATGTCTGTATGTATGTATATCTATGTATTATTAATAATAAAAAAAAAAAAAATGCATATAAAAGTAATAAGTACAAGATTAATTTTTTCTTCATAAGTCGGAAGGTTGCAGATTGGATTATAATAAAAGATCTGATTTTAAACAGTAGCGCCTTTAATCACATTATCCTCTGTCAATGAGGATATATAAACATTAACAATAGTGCATAACACGCAACACAACACAAATCACAAGCATACCCACAGTCTTATGGAATGTACATTTCATATGTGGGTAACTCCTTTTATGCACTATTAGTGTGAATCTTGCAAATTAAGGTCAATTTGCTCTCCTTTTATTCTAAACTTAGCAGTTACTGATATACAACTTATGAATCATACATCATTATGAAGTACATATGAAAAATTGACCAAGCCAACCCCCTAAATTTTATTTATTTTCTTTCTAGATGCCACTCAAAATGGTCTTTATTTTCTCCAGCTGCTCTTCCTTCTTTTTGTGTAGAGGAGTTTCAGCATCCATGTACTGCTGTTTGGTCATCTTCCCAAGCACCAATTTCTCCACGTTGGTCAGTTGCTGTGTCATGCTATCTCGCAGAGCCCTGGTAAAAGAAACCAAATTCATTAAAAAAGAAGGAATAATACCAAATACATGTAAAATTATAAAAAAGAAAACTATGAAACAATGAAAAATAACAAACGCAATGTTGTCTTGATATTCTGCCATTTTCAGTGAAGAAAAAATATTTACTTCAAACCACTTAAAGCTTACAGTAGAGAAAATTAACTATATCTTGTCAGATTCCCTTTATTCATATTTAATAATATAACATTTGTGTATGATCAACTGCAATCACTAAAATAAAATCTCACCTGAGCCTAACACAAAAAAAAACACAAAGAATGAACTAAGCTAAGTAACCAAATATATCCCCAGAGTTTTTCCTTATATTTGTTTCTTTGTAATTCTAACACTTTTGATTAGTGCAAGTTTATTGTGTTGGACCTAAATATTCTCTTGAGATATAAAGTCCTGATATTCTACATGATTCAAAACATTGTAGGAAAACCTCAGCATTGTGCAATGGTATCAAAATACCTGCAATAATCTTTCCCCTATGCTTAATCAAGCCATGAAACATTAAATATGGTCATAATTCAGTCTATGTGATGGGGAAGGGAAATCTACTTTCATACACAAACTACAAGCAAAAAAAAAAAAACAGCATTAATACAATAATGAAAAGAGCCCCCAGCAACATCAGGGTGTGCAGTCAGCTGCTCTGGGAAAGTCAGAAGCATGGAAAATGTAAAATTACCCTATTCTCTATTGTCTGGCCTGCAATATCAATGATTGTTTAGATAATACAGCTATAAGTGGCTTTAAGCCTACTTTTCAAGGGCTTTTTTCTCCTCAGCAACTGCAGCCTGGTCCTAACAAGCACATAAAACAAACTTGCCAAGAATGTTAGGTGGTCACCCTGCCAAGAATGTGTTAATCTACATTCTCAGCTCATTATGTACTCAAAATGGAAAAAGGTAAATCCAATCATGGACTCCTTGACCAATTTATGTCCTACTTAGTGAATGAAGTCATTGCCTCTCCATTAGGTACTCTTGTCATGTTTGGTCTCAAAGTGCAGAATATAATATATACAAATTACTCACTCAGTTATCATTGTCATAATTTCAACTTCAACCTCCTCACTAAGCTGCACACATAGAGGTCTTAATAGTAACATAATAACTAAAGCTTCAGGTAAAAATTAAATTCCTCAAATCTCAGTTTTAGAACTGCTGCCAAATATACATTACCAATTCCCCCAACAATTATACACTTCACATTGCCTAAGACAAGCAAATTTAATATCCACTAATACTGCTTACCATGTAAATTCTAAACTCAGCCAAAATTAACTACAAGCTGCCTCTGTAAAAGTAAGCAGGTTTTTCCAACACATTATCAACACCAAGATATTACCATGTGTGCCTCACCATATCTCGCAAGGAGTTAGATGGCACAAGCACTATGCGCCTGTCTCCTGTTTGTGATGTAGCATTGCCAACAAAAATTAACTCATGTTACCCATCTAATGAAAGGATGTGTGTAAAATATCTCATTAACAAATGTAAATCTAAAAAGTATTTTGATAACTAATGTGTACTACAGATAAACATTAAAAAAGGCATGCAATTGTCAGTGCTCAAAAGTGTTTAGTCTGGGAAATAAAAGCAAGACATGCAATACAAATGCCTCCATTACAAATCATAATAAAACAAAAAAAGGTGGAGAGGAGGAAAGAGAAAGAGGAAAAAAGAGGATAGAAAAAGAGGAGAGGAGGATAAAGGATAGAGAAAGAGGAGAGGATAGAGAAAGAGAAAGAGAAAGAGAGAGAGGAGAGAAGAGAGAGGAGGAGAAGGAGGATAGAGGAAGAGGAGAGGAGAAAAGAGGAAGAGGATAGATATGTATAAGAGAAGTTAATAAGGAAGATGAAGATGAAAAGGAGAAGAGTGAGAGGGAGATAAAGATAGAAAACAGAAAAATGATGGAGGAAAGGAATAGAAAGGAGAGGTGGAATGGAGCAGAGACCAAACTTACTTTTCTGCTTTCTGGAGCTCAACCACTTTGTCAGCATACTCTGCATTATCCAAACGAATCTTGGCTCCCAGGTCACTGATGATCTGAGTCTCATCGCGAATGCTCTGAAGAATCTTCTTGGTGGCAGTCTGGAAAGTATGGTATAGAGATCAAGTTTTGAACTGAAATTAAAAATAAGTCGGGAGATAGTGGGGGAGAGGAAGGGGAGGCGGAGTGAGTGAGGGAGAAGGGGGAAAGGGAAGACGGAGAGAGTGAGGGAAAGGGGGGAAAGGGAGGGGAAGTGTGTGAGGGAAAAGGGGGAAGGGGAGGTGGAGTGAGTGAGGGAGAAGGGGGAAAAGGGGGGGGGGGGAGGTGGAGTGAGGGAGAAGGGGAGGTGGAGTGATTCGGAGTGAGTGAGTGAGTGAAGGAAAGGGGGGTGGGGAAAGCGGAGTGAGTGAAGGAAAGGGGGGGAGGGGAAAGAGTGAGTTAAGGAAAGGGGGGAGGGGAAAGCGGAGTGAGTTAAGGAAGGGGGGGGAGGGGAAAGCGGAGTGAGTGGGGAAGGGGGGAGGGGAGGCGAGTGAGTGGGGAGAAGGGGGGGAGGTGGAGGCAGAGTGAGTGAGGGAGAAGGGGGGGGGTGGAGGCAAGTGAGTGAGGGAGAAGGGGGGAGGTGGAGGCAGAGTGAGTGAGGGAGAAGGGGGAGGTGGAGGCAGAGTGAGTGAGGGAGAAGGGGGGGTGGAGGCAGAGTGAGTGAGGAGAAGGGGGGAGGTGGGGCAGAGTGGTGAGGGAGAAGGGGAAGGGGAGGCAGAGTGAGTTGAGGGGAAGGGGAGGGGAGCAGAGTGAGTGAGGGGGGAGCAGAGTGAGTGAGAGGGGGGGGAGCAGAGAGTGAGGGGGAAGGGGGGGGAGAGTGAGTGAGGGGGAAGGGGGGGGAGAGTGAGTGAGGGGAAGGGGGGAGCAGGGGGGGAGCAGCGAGGGGAAGGGGGGGAGCAGAGTGAGTGAGGGGGGGGGGGGGGAGCAGAGTGAGTGAGGGGGAAGGGGGGGGGAGCAGAGTGGTGAGGGGGAAGGGGGGGGGGAGCAGAGTGAGTGCAGTGAGTGAGGGGGGGGGGGGGGTGGAGGCAGAGGCAGAGTGAGTCAGAGTGAGTGAGGGGGAAGGGGGGAGCAGAGCAGAGTGAGTGAGTGAGGTGGAGGCAGAGGCAGAGTGAGTGAGAAGGGGGGGGGAGGTGGAGGCAGAGTGAGTGAGGGGGGAGAGGTGGAGGCAGAGTGAGTGAGGGAAAAGGGGGGAGGTGGAGGCGAGCAGAGTGAGTGAGTGAAGTGAGGAGGGGGGAGGTGGAGGCAGAGTGAGTGAAGAGGGGAGAGGCAGAGTGAGTGGAAGAGTGAGTGAGGGGAGGAGGCAGAGTGAGTGAGGGAGAAGGGGGGAGGGGAAGCAGAGTGAGTGAGGGGAAGGCGAGTGCGAGAGGGGGGAGGGGAAGGCAGAGTTGAGTGAGTGAGGGAGAAGGGGGGAGGGGAAGGCAGAGTGAGTGGGGAGAAGGGGGGAGGGGAAGGAGAGTGAGTGAGGGAGAAGGGGGAGGGGAAAGCAGAGTGAGTGATGGGAGATGGGAGGGGAATGAGTGCAGGAGAGGCAGTAAGTGAGGTAGAGGGGGGGAGGGAAAGAGAAAGGGAAAAGGGGGGAAAAGAAAGGTGGGGGGAGGGAGCAGAAGAAAGACTGATTATTTGGATACAAAGCTAGAAAAAAAGTACATCTACATGTACCCTTGTGCATACCTGTATATATCAATGTTTATTAGAATACAATAAGCATGTATAGAAAACTTTTATAATTACCTGGAACTGATTAACATCCTTGGACACCTTCAACTTCTGCAGCTCCTCTTCAAGTTTCTCATACTGCCTGGCACGTTTGTCATGATGGGAGTCGATCATTTCACAGTGAGAGGAAACACGCATCTTGGCCTCAATGGCATCATCCTTACTCAGGGTCAAGTCAAGACGTACGTAAAGGATAACCTAAAATAAAGGAATAATTGCAATTCTTTCAAAATTCATTAGAATATCATTGCATCTGATTTTTAAAATGCAGTATTTCCATTTAGATCATTTGAAATCTTGCATAGGTGGTTTACTATTTCAAGTCGATTTCAAAATCAGAAAGGGCTTGAATATTTTCTTGGTAATTTTAATTCACACTTAAAGTGTATCACTACAATTTATACCTACCTACTTATTATCATTATTATGATCATAATTGTCATTTTTAAGATGACTGGGTGTGGGGCCTGTAAACTATTCAGCTTTCTACAAAACTGAACAGAACCTCTCTATTTCCTCACCTGCCTCATTTCCCTTCTCACATCATTATCCATTCAACAAAAATATGCATATTCCCACAACCTCAAGGGGAAAGAGAGAGAGAGAGAGAAAGGGAAGATCATAAACAACAATTTCATACCGTGATAAAGAGGATGAAGAATGCCACAACCACCAAGAGAGGCTCCTGCAGCATGAGGATTGAGGGGAAGCTGTACTTGAGGGAGAAGTCCTGAATGTGACTCTCGACGAGGTTTTTCTTGCTGATGGTGATGACGGGACGGCCTATGGTATCCAGGTAGGTGTAGTGCAGACTGTCAGCTTTGCGCTCTACTGGGTATGGTGTCCTTAAGGAGAGAATTTTAGATATTGGCTTATAGGTTGCACGGTTGGAAAAAGATCTAATCTTATTGCTTGTTCAAAACTGACTGATACTACCTTACCAGGTTGAATTGCTCTTTTGACATTATGCAAACACAAAGTCAAGTACATACATGCCACCTGTTGGTATGCATGTACAAAAAAGTATAAGCCACAAAGACTTACTCAAGATCAATGTTGCGTACTCCTTCTGGCAAGATAACCTTCACAATCAAGTTGTCCACAACCACATCATCAAAGACATGGTCCAAGATCCTCATCTTTAATATGAATTCATCACCTGAGGGAGAGAAAAAGAAAATAAGATTTTTATTCTTTTAGCAGTTCAGTATCTAATTTGTATAATAACCAAAATGAGAAGTTTCCAGAGAAATTAATCTAAGATATTTTCTATACTGTTTAAAATAACTTTGTGACAGGAATTAAAAAATACCCATTAGCCCCTTCCATTCAGGTGACCTGACCACCACGTCATGAAAAAATTTGGCTTGAGGGGCGGGTGATGAACATGCCTTTATGGGAAAAAATGACCATGGGCCAGGTGAAGTGAACTTGTCATAAGCAAAGGCCAAGGTGATGGAAAAGACTCCCTACAACACAAATGCACAAACCTCTTATAGGGTGTCTCGACTCATTTGGCATTTACAGTTTTTTTTTTTTTTTTTTTTTTTTTTTGCATTATTCCCATTGATAAGTGAGAGTGGAATGTAATGTTCTTGAGCCATGACTGAGCACCAGCTCCAGGGAGGATGCCATTTCCAAGCTCAGCATCCTATTCCCGGCTGCCTTGACTAGCAGTGCAGGTTGTATTACAGAAAATTATATATATATATAAAAAAAAAAAATTACATTTTCTTTTCTTGTACCAAGTTACTTCTTACATAGAGAGACAATATAGAGCCTGTGCAAGGAAAACATTAAACTACCATCTCGATAGAGCAAATGAAAAGACAAATATGGACACTGGAAAAGTCAAAAACTAAAACTGCAATGCAAAGGGGAGGCATAGTCTTGTCACTGCACACAAGTGTGTGTGTGCTCGGTCTACACACCACACACTTGAAAGTGCAGCCATTTACAAAAGCCTAATGCCCATACTTTGGTCCATGTGATTGTCGTGAAGCAACCAGATTCAAGGGGTTCATAAACTGGAATGGTTATACAAACTGACCAGAGTTGTAAAGGTATTCATAAGAGGGGACATTGTAGCCAATCTTGTAGTGGGTCTTCCATCCTCCAAACAAGGGGAACCTTGGCCTAAGGTCCAGCTCCACTGCATCATCCTGGATCCTCATGTGTGACGTGGAGATATTTCCGATCTCATCACGGTAGTACACATCCTTGGCTGAGGCTGGGATAATGGTCTTGAAGGATCTGAAGATGAAAATGACATTAGGATTTTTTTTCTTTCATAATATTGCATGTATCTTCGTTTTAATCCCTAAAGTTAGATAGCTCTCTATTGAGTACTCTCACAGAAACTACATCAAATCCTATGTTACTGATCAAATAAATGCACTCAAAAACTGTTGGGCTATTTTCCAGTATTTTACTATTTTCAGTGGGAGGTAGGGAGAACAAAGTAATTCTGGCATCCCCATAAACCACATTTCCCTCGTCCTATAGTACCTCATTATATCCTGAGAAACTCAAATATATTGGGTTTGTTCCTACCTCTTTCCTACTTGTAAAGGAACAAAGTCATTAAAAATAAGGCCCTGTAATGTATGGCAAATACATCACCCTACAAACTTTTTCATTTTTCTATTTTCTTAGTGCCCCCTTCTCTCCTTGAACCAATCACTGATGTACCTCTTAGCCTTTGGCCATGCCTCTCTTAATCTAAATGAATATTGTACAAGTGAAATAGGTATTCTGATAATGCAGGACTTTCTTTACTTTACTACAAAATAATAACAATTTTTATTTCAAAGCATGAACACCCCCTGAAAATGCCACCATTTGCTTTGAACCCTTCCAACAATTTTTACACCTTTCCCCCCTCGCCTCTAAAGTTACTAGACTGGATATATTTCTCATGGGCGTCCGGCTACCCATACAGCCACTGAACTAGATGGGTATCTTTGGGCTCACACTGGTAATTCTTCTATACCATTTGTTCCTTATTACACTCACTCACTCACTCTCTCACTGCTTGCTTACAATGTGCCATAACAGCAATAGACTTACATTTCCCCATGTTCATCATTATATATAGAGTAAACCTGGTACATAAACTCACTTGACACTAGAGTAAGTATTGTGCTCTCTCTGGAAGTCATATCTTGAGAAAGAGCCCTTAAGTTTGGCTCCAGTGTGGAGGACATCAATAGTCTCTTCAACAGCAATATTGCCCCAGTGAGACACTTCAATCATTCGCTCTAAGCTTGTTACAGTCAAGAAGGGGGAGTTATTTTCGTAGTGAATGGCCATTGCATCCTGTAGAGAATTAAAATTTTGAAATATGTTTCCAGGAAGTTAGAATTATTTTCATCTAAAAGAAGAAAATTAAATATACAATATAGTACTTTCACTCACATGTACAACTCTTTATAGACATAGTATCTCATACATTTTAAGTAATTTCAAGTGTGCATGTGCACTATATGAAACAGCCTTGTAGAAATATTGTAACATGAAGCATTTCTATCAATCAGATAACAATAAAATATGTTATCATACTCACATGGGAGAAAGGCTTAACCCCATCATAGGGGCCATAAGTGATAGAGGTGTCAGTGTGGGAGCTAGGCTTCAGGCGTGAGTAGGATTCAACATTCGGGGACGGGAGAGTGACAGTGGTTGTCTGGGTTGTGGTGGTGTAGGGGGTAAGAATGTAGTGGTTGCCCAGGTATCGCACCAGCTGCTTCTCCCCCTGCTGAATGACAGCAGGATACGGCTCCAGCATGTGAGTAAGGTAGCATTCTACCTCTACCTGAAAGCAGGATTTCCAATATGGTTAGTTTTATTGGATAAGGGTCGTGTGAGATGCAATGGAAAATGAATGCAATTAATAAAAAGTATAAGAAAGAGGTGGAACCTTGGAGAAACTACTATAAATAATGAATTTAAGGATTTTGAATGAAAATACTTTTGAAATAGGCTTTTCAACAATTAAAAAAAATATATAGGACGAATTAACAGAATAAAAAGTACATTACTATTCACTTACCTCCTAAATATGAAAATTTACAGCAACCATGTATAAGCACACTACTGACTGGCAAACATCTACAAAATGTCTAAAAAATACACAAATAATAATAAAAATTATCAAGTACATATTCCCTTTATACTTACATTAACAATCTTGCCTGGCTGGAGAGAATCCTTAAGCTCCACCTTGAAGAATTTAATATCTTGATGCTCCTGCACCTTGCTCTCAGAAAGCTGCAATGTTGTACCACCAGACTGAAATGGAAAATTAAATTGGAATAATCTGATATGAAACTGGCACCTCTTAAAATCATATTGTATATTAATTATAGGTTTTAGAAATATTGGGAATGAAAAAACTCTGGTTCTTCAGCAAAGGCCACCAAACCTCTGAGCCAAGACAGCCATCACTTCTAAGGTACACAAGCATGTCAAAGCTTGACATACTTGGCTGGCAGGCAAGATGCCAGTCCAGCTTTCTGTTCAAGGTGTCCCAAGTGTGTTAACAGTGGTGATGCACCCTCAAGAGATGAAGTTCCAAAACCATGTTTATACATTTCCTCTACCCAACAGTTTATTCACACATACCAAAACATTGGGGTATTATGTGAACCAAAAAATCCAAACCTAAGTTTTCCTACCTTCTATTTATTCCCTAGACAGGGGTGTAAGCCTTCCCCCTGTATTCCTCTTTATTAGTAGTTAATGTGAAGTTATGGAAACAGACTTATAGAAAACAAGACTGAAAAGTGAAGATGTGGTGGACTGAACTCTGATATGCAGCAGATATTTTAGTCATTTTGCAATAAATATGAGACACCAGCAGCTGTACCTGTAATGTTCATAACCATTTCTTATGCTCTATAAGATGGCAGTGTCCATTTTCCTCTATCTTTGTGTGTTGCCCTCGGTAACATTAACCATATATTTGACAATAAGCATCAGTCTCAGAGGGGTGCAGTTACTTTATAAACTACCATATTGTTTGTTTCTGTATTTGTTTTAGTGTCACACAGGTATCCAACCCTGCAATTATTATTCCTTATTTCAATCATTCATATTGTAATGTTTCCCTTTGTCATAATTTTGTGCCAACTTTATAGAAAATAGACATTAAGAACTATCTGTGTAAAGGTGTTGTGGACATTTTCATCACTTACTGGTAAATATGAGGCTGCTGCAAGTTAAACTAGGTTTCTTATTCTATTTTGTATGTTCAATATGATGACACTGTCCATTTTCTTCTATTATCATGCATTGCTCGTGGTAACCTATACCATGGTTATAGTTACGATATAAAGCATAAGAATGTCATGAACAACACAGGTACAGCTACAGTGGCCTCATATGTACCATGAAATGACGAAAATATTTGCGGCATATCACAATTCACAGAAACTAAACAACACCCTCACAAAACCAGGGTTCTTACTGTCTCTTTTCTATGAGTTGGCATAAAGTGATAATAAAGGGGGCTCCAGGGGGGCTGGCCCCTGTCTATGAAATAAAAGGATTTTAGCAAAAGTTAGGGTTTGGTTTTTGGGTTCACATGATACCCTGGTTTTGGGACTTCATCTCTGGAGGGTGCATCGCTCTTGGTAATAATTACCATGACTTTCTAACTGCATCCCTCTGATGGCAAGTTCCTAGTACTCCAGCCACTCCTGGCACTCCACAAACATCTCTATATCAACCAAATACTATCCTAACCACTGGGAATCACCCTCAGACCCTCACCCAATTGCAGTATTCCCCCTATTGACGGTTCTGCTCGCAAACCCCCATCTGATCCTGGCGGACTTGCACCCCATGCAGCATTTGTTGCAGCATTTTTTTTTCTTTCTTTTCTGATACTATTTGCCATGGTAGATTATTTCATGTAGCCGTACGTCTATTTTTTCCATTGATTATGATGGTGTCATTAGATTTTCCTGTATATGCATACCAAAGTACAGTATAGGTTACTTATAGCGACACAAGGATATAGAGGGAAATGGACACCATCATCTTGTAAGACCATAAAAAAGTAGAGTCAGAAACATAGTTTACGCTGTAGTTTCCTAATATTCAATGAAAATATACCCTATGCATCGAAGTCACTTCTCTTGTTCACCTTGCCAGGAAAAAGAAAACACTGACTACATGCCTCATTACTGCGATATCCCAAGTAGTTCATGTGTTATTATGCACTTGTCAAAATTATATTTTGCTAAAAATCTGCTGTTACACATTTATGCTTATAAAGTCTTTTATTAATATTATTATACTTAAATTATATGTTTGAAGATTTATCTACACAGTTCTTTAAAATGATCTACACCTCATGCATGTCAGACACTTAGTCGCCACCACCAAGGTTTGACAGCTCAATGGCTATTCCGTGACATAAGGCTGGTGAGAAATGTTGTACCTCCAGTATCAATTCTGGATTATTTTTAAGACTATACAGTGGTATCAAAGTAGAAATAAACTAGTAACCATCCCAATTTGATATCTGAGCCTATCAAGAGTCCCAAATGCCAAAAATGTTATTAAAAACAAGGCAATTCAGACTGTAGAAAAAAAACTAATGAAAGTGACATTCCAGATATAATGGTATATGGTTTATTTTATTTACAGTATGATGAACACTGCTCTATCTTGCCGTACATACTGAGGTGAAGAGAATGTTTCGTAGGGGGTGTTGGGGGGCAGAGCCCCCCATCAACCCTCCCCTCGGGCAGTGCCCGAAGGAAACCCCTAGTCACAGCAACTTAAATTGTTAGATTTGGTTGGTTTATTGATCAGTACATTTTGGGGGGTTTGAAATGTGTGAATTCTTTTTTATTTTACCAAATGGTGGGTTGGATCCCTAGTTTTTTTAATTTTGGTGCATCGGTCCGTAGAATTTCAAAGATGGTAGGTATATCAGTAGAGCTTCAATGGCTGATTTTAAGCATTTTGTGCAGGTTTTATGCATGTTTTTTTTTTTTTTTTTTTTTTTTTTTTTTTTCTTAAGCCTATTTTACTCCATAATTTCCCTGATATACTTTATGCCCTCCTCTGCTATCAAATCAAGACCGTCAATGGAGACATGGCACAAAACCTTTTCAATTCATTCACAGATGAAACACCGAGAATCGACGAAATCATAGGATTTCCTGCAATTTTTCTTTTTACTTTGGGAGGGTGCATCGCTGTCAGTAACAATTACCCAGAGTATTACATGTTGCACAATTTGGTAAATCCTTACAATAGAGATACAGTCCCCTGACTAATGCTATCTTTTCCGGTGAAAAGTAAGGGGTCTTGTGACACAACGCAACACCAAAAGCTGTCTCTTGATCTTGATCTATCTCTTGATCGGTCTTGCGAGACCGGCCTATCAGCTCCGCCCATTTCCGTGACGTATTGGGAATGGCCGCGGTTGACGGTTTGTTATTCTACTGTATTGGTTATTTTTCTGACAGATACACAGTATTTTGGAATATGATCACTAAGATGCCTTTTGATATCTTATGGTGGGTAGTGCGATGTTATAGTATCCAATATGAGTACGGATAAGTTTGAAAAATCCGAAGTAGGAGGAATGCATCTGGCAAGTCAATAAATGTTTATCGCCTTCTCAATTCCTGTTGTGTTTCCCGTAACCACTGGAAAAGATGGCATAAGTCCCCAACTCCCCATCACAATATTCAACAATCCAAGTTTCTGTGACTGGGCCTGCCATTCGTATAAGAGGACGATTGAATGGTGGCTCTGCCCCCCCAACACCCCAGACTGTTGAGTATTTTTCTTGCGCGGGGAATATTACATTTTTTCATGCGCGGAAAACATCATTTTGTCTATATTTCCGCGGATGGATTTGCAGATGGATGATGAAACAAGTGCTCTAATAGGTCAAAAGAATTTTATGCACAGATGAGGATTTAAAATAGAACTAAGCGTGCGCAGAAAGTTACCCGAGAACTACATTTGCGCTGACAGAATTTTACCAAATAACTTTCATGCATGGAATGCATTCCCCATGCGGACCAAACTGTACAGTCTGGCCAACCCCCCAGAAAAGTCTTCTTTTAACAAATTGGTGAAAAAATAAAAATTATTTTTGGTTCTATCCACTAAAGGCAAAGTTTACCTTGTGCCATATGGCTGTGTGGAACAAACTATCCTGGTGTCACTTCCAATAACAAATATCCCCACATTGTTTACCTTCTGGGTGACTGCTGTCTGGTCACAAGTACTCCATTGTGCATCCACTCAAAACAAACCATTGGGCTTAGCACACTGCACTCTAATGAAAATATACCAGAAACCAAACTATTGTAGCAATCCTACAAAACCAACAATCCTACCTAGTGTTCCAACCAGCATATGCGCCCTTCTCCACCTGTGCTTTAAGGCAACAGGCCAGCTTTTCCCTCGTGATAAGGGCGACCGACAAGGACCTGACAACGCAAGCATATGCATCCTTCCCTCCTTGCAAAATGCATCCTCCTCCTCCTCCTCCTCCTCCCTGGCGAAGCAAAAGATCTGGTCGAGTGACAACCCACTCGGCTGGCTTTGGCAGCGTCACCGCCCAGTCACAAATCCTATCTGACCCTCTCCCCACGCTAAGGAATCCTACCGCCCCTTTCCAGCACCAGACACACGGCCCTTCGTCCCACCTGAGCATTGAGGAAGGCGAGGTTCTGCTTCTCCGCCTCCGTGAACGCCAGCAGGAAGGCCCCAACGGAGCCCGTGCCCGCGTTCTCGAGGGTGATCTTCGACGTGATTTTGACGACCTGCGACGCCACGTCGATCTTCCTCTCCACCTTCTTCAAGAGGAGGTCCTTGTTCACGCTGTCATAGGCGGTGGCAGATACACCGCCAGGGACAGCACTCCCTAGGATGCCACACAAGACAGCGATGACACTCATCCTGGACGCCGCCGAAAGGACTCTCGAGCCTCAACACGGGGCCGCCGACGTCTGTCTGCAGAAGAACGTCCTGTCCGGGATGCCTTGGGGGAAGGGGGACGCCGAGGGACTGTAAGACACTCAACCTCAGTCGCGAAACGTCCCAGCAGCAACACAGGTCCTCTCAGCGTGGCTTGGTGCCGGCAGTGTCGAAGCAGCCAACCAACGGCCGACAGCAGCGA